ACCTGGTTTAGCAGGGGGAAAGGGGATTGTTAGTAATGTGGACTGATGGTCTTATTGCTAGCAAAGTACCATGTCAGGTTGACCTCCACGCGGTTCCCCCTGGAAACCATCGTGATAAATTCTTGGTGAATATATCACGATGGGCTAACTGACCTCATGCTCATCATATCATCTGCCACTGGTGTCCCGCCAGCGTAAACCGTTATCGCAGGCGGGTGCACCATTTCATTATCATCAATAAAAAAGAAAACCTGGTTTAGCACTAGTCATTGACCAAAGTATATATTATTACAAAACGAAGTTTATCTCTAAACCGTGATTAGTCCATAGACCAGATAGAGTTTTGCGAGGAGTCGCGGTTTCGTCGCCGAGCGGTCAACACTAGGCTTCCAAGCTATATCCGAACTTTATTCAATGTCTGATGATGCCTCATTCAGAAGTGAAACCCGTGTGATAATATGGGTGCATACAATAATGGTCAGAATTTGATCACCAATAGAGAAGGTTGTGATGCTTCCAGTAGCGGTAGTCTATTTTCCGCACTGAATATTTGTGGTCTCTCACAAGCTAATTGTAGCGGAATTATACAAAATAATATACATTAAATGGTTATAGAATTTTGTTTAAAATTAGATTATGTTATTATAAAATTATCTTCATACGTAATATTAAAGTTATAAACTGTTTCCATTAGCCCATTGCTAACAATAACTTACATTGTAGGAATTAATAATTTGAGGAAGTCCCAAATCACAATATTACACACATAAACAAAAATTAGCAGTGGAAATTTTACACAACACTCCTTTTTGTACTTATTATTAGAATTTTGTTAAATTTATATCTGGCTGTTATTGATAGTAGACAACTTGAATTTTATATTTAGATGTGTCTACTATTGTTCGCAAATTTTTCTATTGAGATATTGTTTTGAGCCTTTTATTTTTCCTAAATCTTATATATAAAATTCACGTGTTACAGTTTTCGTTCCCATACTCCTCCGAAACGACTTGACCGATTCTCAAGAAATTTTGTGAGCGTATTGAGTAGGTCTGAGAATTTGCCAACATCTATTTTTCATCCCCCTAAATGTTAGGGGTAGTCCACTCCTAATTTTTTTTTTTATTTTAAGGCAAAACAACGTTTGCCGGGACAGCTAGTATTATATACTATACATATTTTAGTTTTATATTTCGCTATATTTATTACCACTGCACATTGGACCCCTACACCTATGTATTTTTACTCTTTTGAATTTAGATATATATTAGTAACATACTACTAACGGTAGTTGACCACTGCTGGCACTTACCGACATTGACATCGCTGTACTCCAGTCAGTTCGTGACCACGGTTAGTGCTACCTAGTCAAAACGTCGAGAGAGGTTTATACTTCATCGTCATCATCATCACAGCCTGGAAGACGTCCATTACTGGACAGACCTTTATACTTATTAACATTATAAATGCAATAGTCACTTCGTCTGTCTGTCTGTCTCGCTTTCACGCCAAACTATTGAACCGATTAAATGAAATTTAGTATACAGATGGTTTAGATCCTGAGAAAGGACATAGGCTACTTTTTAAGGCGATAAAAGGTCTGTAAGGGGTTGAAAGAGTAGATGGGTTGCATGTGTTAAATATTTTTCTTTACTTTACTTTACCATAAAATTATTCGTGTCAAAGACCCGATTGGAGATATTAATAATGCCTTTTTTATACTTTTTATAATGGACTCTATCCCTGAGACTAAAAGATTTTGTGCCAACCAACCTTTGTGAGGTTATTGGCAGACGCGACAAAAATACTTACATTCATATGAGTAATAAGGACACACATATAATATACAAGACTTCAGTACTCTATCACTGTCACGTCTTCTAAATACTTGACAAGTTTCTATATTTGTTGATAAGAAGTTTATATATATATATGACGGTCTCGCTGGTCTAGTGCTTTAGCACACCGCCTACCTGCGATAGTTGTGGGTTCGATTCCTCGCACGGTATGATATATAATCACACTTATGTATATAAATGTGTGTTGGGAGTTTTTTATGTAGATTATGTATGCATTTACATATGTATATTTATGGGTGATACTGAAATGCTGCTCCCGCCTGCGCTAACAGTATACGCCGGCGAGGTACCAGTGGAGTATGATATAGAGTATGCCCATCGTGACAAAATGACAAGGAATTTATCATTATGGTTTCCAGGAGTAACCATGTGGAGGTCGACCACACATGGCACAATGCTAGTGATAGTCTTAGTCTTTCTTCCCCTTCCCCCACAAACATTGAGTTTCACCTGTTTTTTTTTGCTAATATTGAACAAATTATAATATATCTTTTTATCATAAAAATCGCGTCGTCACGTGTTCGATTTAATATTTTTGATCAACCCCTATAAAGAGGGTAAGTCTTTAAAGCTTTTTAAGTTACAAACTCAACAACAATTAGCAGATTTTGCCAAACTAAAGAGGAAACGCCACTACACATCTTATGTGGTTGTAGCCCACTCACGTCTAAACTAAATATCTCCTTTGGAAAGTATACTCTCTATCCTGAGGAGATAAAAATAATCTCTCCTAAGAATATCCTTCAATTCTTGTCCCTGACGGGTCTAAGTAGCGAACTTTGAAAATGGGCGAGCACAATAGATCTATGCAGGTTCCAGTCGCAGTGCTACAGGTCTTAGCACCTAACTATAGTCCAAAACCTCAAAGAAGTCTTTAAAACTATATGTATGTACAATGTATATAACCTTGAACTTAATATTTTCTATCAACCCCTACTCTAGTTTGAAGGGTGATTATGTCTTTGAAACTGAACCGTAAAACCTTGAAGTAAGTTTTACGTTAATCGCTTTACTTACAATGTATCAATCTACGGTATCGATCGTACCGGTTCGCATTACCGGTAACATGTAACTTCATAAATAATGTAGAATTTTAATCGATTTAGAAAAGTGGTGGTGGGGATAGTTGGGAAAGGTGCTAGGCTTCGCTTCTAATTTTCCCCTGGCCCTTATTACTGGCGCTGGGTCGCTAAGGATCTCAAGCAAAAGCCCCTATCCGGGCATACTGCTGGGGTGAATCACCAGTGTCGTTTACAGTTATGCACCCGGGTGTGTAAATAAAAAAATATTAATAATGTCTAATATTTCAAAACAATTCACACAGCGCCATCTAGTCCCAAGCTAGAGTTAGGTAAGCCAATAATGCCAAGTAGAGCTTGTGTTAGGGATACTAGACAACTGATACAAAAAAAAAATACAAAAACTGATACGAAAAAAAAACCTATGTGGTTTTTTTTGTAAATACGTAATACCTATATGTAGAAATCCCAGATAATTAAATAATTAAACTGTCGTTCGCTAAGCCGATTTTGATCGTCGGTCTGTCACATATGAGGTGAATCCACGATACAGAGTAAGTCGTGCAGCCTCATTGCTAAAAATGTGTAGCAAGTTGGCCCCCCGAGGTGCCCCATGAAACCATTGTTAAATTCCTGTTGAATTGGTCACCCTGGGCAAAATGATCTGACTTCATGATGTGGCCCACCATTATTGGAGCAAAGTTTCCTAATTCAGCTAGTGCACTCGTATATACACTGCAGCTATATTTTATTTTTTATTTATTTATTCTTTATTGCACTTTTAAAAATTGTTAAGCCTACAATTTGGCGAGCCTAATGCCATATGACAATATATACGTACGTACGTATATGTATATATATACGTACAGTATTTAAAAATCGAATTCGCGGTACTCTTTTAATTTGGCCGTTCCCACCATTTTCACGATACAGAATCTGCTTCTGTAGAAGTGCACAGAGTATGTTATAAACATCGAATACAAGCGTTACAGATAAACCAGAGACAATATATACTACAATATCATTATGATGATTATCATCTACTTCTTCCTTATCCCATTTATGTGGTCAGCGCTAAGGGGGGTGGGGATTATTAGTAGCGAGGACTAATGACCCCATTGCTAGCAATGTACCATGTCAGGTCGATCTCCACGCGGTTTCCCCTGGAAACCATCGTGATAAATTCCCGGTGAATTTGTCACGTTGGACAAACTGATGACTTCATGTTCATCTTATCATCCTCCACTGGTGCCCCGCCAGCGTAAACCAGCGCAGGCGGGTACACCATTCCATTATCATCCACTAAAAAAAATATATTTTCACTTTCATTCATCCCTTTTCGCAATCGTCTCGTTATTTCTTACCATATCATCATTCACATGATCCATCCATCTCTTTTTCGGTCTTCCTCTGCTCTTATAAGCGTCTAAAAATTGAAGAATTCGTTAACGATAATAATGTTTTTATAGAAAAACTTTAAATCCATAGGACTGACAATATTATCTGGTTACACTAATAATGAGTGCGTAGCGATTTCTATGTTGATTATCGCATGCCTCTTACTTGTTATACTGTAATTATTTATATAAAAAAACATCTATTAAAAAGAGCATCATACAAGTTTATTGCTCATTCTTCTTGTGATGAATCTGCATTCCGAATGAGTGGTAGAATCAAAATATGACTATTCAAAAGTGCTTGTAATGAGTTTATTTGAATAAAGATTATTTCTATTTCTACATTTATATGTAATATCTTCCTTAAAATTTACGACCTCGGTGGTCTAGCGGTCTAGCACACCGCTTTACGTCCGATGGTCGCGGATTCGATTCCTCGCATGGCACAAACATTTGCATTCATGAGTATGATTGTTTGTGTCGGTCTGGGTGTTTTCTAAGTATATTATGCATGTATTTACAAAAAAATATTTATGTATTTGTATCAGTTATCTAGTACCCATAACACAAGCTTTAGCTAGCTTAACTTGGGTCTAGATGACGCATTGTGAATTATTATTATTATTATTATATATATATACATAAAAAAAAATATTGTCTTAATTCCTGACTACAATATTATTATGATGACAATAAATATGAACCATATGTTATTGTTGTTTCAGCAAGGCATCGGAGTGGAATTGGTGCGCGCTCTCGACACCCACCCGCCAACCATCTCCAACGTGTTCTGCGAATGTGACTCCAGGGATGATGTTGTAAGTACTATCTATCTATCTCGGCATCTTTCAAACATTTAGATAAGAGATGAGAAGTCTAATAATAACTGGATGGTAGCGAAAAAATAAAATTATAATTTAAAAAATTTGACGTTCATAAGTGGCTAATATGTCCTACAAGAATAAATGATTTTTGAATATCAATTTGAATTTAAATGGACTAGAGACTCACTAGTTAGCTATGTCGGATCCAACTCCAAACGATCAAATCAAAATATCTTTATATATACTTTATTCATGTAAGTCTATTACAGACTCTTAATTTTATATATACTATGTTGATGTCAATCGTACCTACAACCCATCTGGTAAACGGTTACCGTAGCCTATAAACGCCTGAATCATCAGGGGTGTCACGTGCGCGTTGCAGACCCTTCGAGTATGTCAAATCTACTGTCAATTCGGAGTGTTTTCGAGATAAGAACTGACAAGAAACTCAGATTGTATTATTTTTAAATGAGCTTGTACATGATTACAAAAATACGGATTCATTATTAAAATTAGTTTGGGAGAATCAAAATTCAAATTCAAAATATCTTTATTCATGTAGGTAGTTCTATTACAAACTCTTATGATATGTCAAATCTTCCGTTAGTTCGGAATGATTTCAAGATGAGAAGAACTGACAAGAAACTCAGCTCGTATTCTTTTCAAATAAATTGACCATGTTTAAAATAATACAGATTCATTTTTAAATTAAAATTTGGGAGAATAGAGTGACCACCAGCATATGCTATTGCAAAAGCAAATAGTCTAATCAGTGTTCCTATCCCGAACAGACCAGTCCCCATAATTTCTTATTCTTATATATCTATGGAATAAATATATAAGAACGGACAGTGATATCAATCATTCAATAAACTATTATATAAATGCATCCCAATACGGCGATGTAGTCAATCATAATATTAACGCAATACGTTTACTGTAACAGCGATTAACTGCTTCCTGATGCGACAGTTAAATTGTGTAACGGCTAACACGTTGACATGTTATGAACCAGTTTTTTTTTAACTATTTAAAGCTGTTGGCCGTTGCTTTTACAGCTTCACCAAACAGCCTTTACAGCTTCACTGGACTGGTCTAGTGCAGATCCGCGGAGTTATGAAAGAAAGGATCAAGACTATCTTCTGTCTTACGGATGAATAAAATTTTTTTATCTAATTTCGGAACAAAAGTTTTTTTATCCGCTTTACGAAAAAATTACGACAGCCTAAGCCAACCTGCCTGACTGTACTAGTCAGGCAGGTTGGCCTTCAGTCCCTCCATAAGTTCTTTCTTTGGTTTGGAGTTTCATCTGCACTCGCCCCCTATCGTCCGGTGAAGCTGTAAAAGCCAGCTGCGGCCTACCTTCTTCGAACTATCCTAATGCTAGAATAGTTCGAAGAAAAAAGCAAACCAATGGAGTTATTAAACAATTATAATCAAACGAAACTTGAAAATACTGTAGAGATATTTACACTCCACGTCATGTAGAGCTCAGCATACATATATGTATTAACTCGAATAAAGTAAGTTCAGACCTTTTTTGTTCAATAAAAATAAAGTCTATTGAAGAATAGGGGACACCCGGACTTGAACCGGGGACCTATCGATCTGCAGTCGATTGCTCTGCCACTGAGCTATATCCCCTGTTGTTATATTTCCTAAAACTCGTATAATATTCCGTATAAAACAAAAAAGCGTAGGCATGATATGAAAGACCAGTATAAAATGGTCCCGTCAATATTTATATCAATATTTTGGTCATTGTATTCTTTATAAGAACACATGTGGGATGGGGTCAACTTAAATTGGATGATGGGCCGTGAACTTGTCATAATCGAATGGATTTTGTTATTTTTGTGGTACTATACATGCCTGTTTGAAATACTAGTGACGCGCCCCGTCTTCGATCTATTCCAGTAATTAAAAAGATTATTTACCTAAATAAAATACGGCCAATCGGTCGAATCTAACGGTTTACCAAATCTGAGGACAATTCACGCAGTCCGAAACTAAACAGAGCTTGTGTTATGTGTACTAGACTGACTGCTGACATATAATAGTCATGAATATAAATTGTACTGTGTGAGGAATTGAACCCGCGACCATCGGAATTGAGACGCTATACCAATACATATTAGTAAACCTGACAATTGGTACCAATGGACCCATTGGTAAATTGGCTGGATCGATTTTGACGGGACTTTTATTGGCAGGTAGAAAAATAAAGATCAATTCCACGCGGACGAAGTCGTATGTGCAGCTAGTACAAAATAAAGATAAAAGACAAACTGATCTCTATCTGTACTGTACTAGTCATAGAATAAGAATAATTTATTGCTGCCAATCAAATTACATAAAATATATTTAAAGATACTTAATTAATGGCGGCAACAGGACAGAAGGAAGAAGTTCAGCATATGCCGACATGCTCCTGAGCGGTGCTAGATTTTAATTGGACCCAAATGTAGGGCAATGTGGACTCTATTCTCCCCTATTAGGGCCTTCTCTCATTTGGGCCGTTGTGCATGTAGAGCCAAAACTAAAGTAGCCAGCCAAGCTCCTCCCAAAACGGCAGACTCCTGGTGTCTGCACAGGCAAACAACCAGACCCTTTTTTACAATTTTTAAAAATAATACAAATTATTCTCTTATAAATTTCTCTTTTTTTACTTTATTTTATTTTATATAATCTACAATTGATCTGGAATGTTTTATGAAATCAAACTAATAATATCTTCATTCATCTTATATGTCAAATCTACTCTACCCGCTGATCTGTAATAGTTAATAATCACCTGGCAACTCTTTTGTGGACTCCCGCGATACAGGTTCGCCTAGTGCGGCGTCCAATGTGTATAATATTTGTATGATGAAAAAAAAACTACTAATTAATAATCCTTAAATAGTCAATAAATATTTCTTTTGTTTTTTTATTACAGACTATCACGTGCGATTGTGAGGCGACGCCGGCGTTTCAGCTGAAAGCGTTCAGTCAACGTGGAGAGAAAGTTGAAGTCTCGCATTACAGAGTCAACGTTAACAAGTAAGTAAACAGACGCACGATTTATCTTGGTACACCTTATGCAATTCGTCAAAGTACCTCTGTCTCACCTATTTCAGCCGGCAAGCAGCTTGCCTCGTAAGCTATTACGGTTGTAGGGTGCTTAGACAATGAATTCATTCTAATTAATTTCCTTTTCTTTAAAACACTTACACAGTTTTCACCTCTTATATGACTACTAGCTACTTGCCCCGGCTTCGCGCGGGTGTACATGTATCATATATATAAACCGTCCTCTTGAATCACTCTGTCTATTAAAAGTGAAACCGGCTCAAAATCCGTTGCGTAACTTTAAAGATTTAAGCATACATAGGGACCGAGAGACAGCGACAGCGACTTTGTTTTATACTATGTAATAATGATATGTTTTTTTACACAGTTTCATTCCTATTTACTGTTTTACAGAGACTGTACTTACAATTTGATTGTCGGATCATTAAGTATTTGTTGATATGTGGTATTTATTAACAATTAACAGCAATCCCTGCACTAAGCTCAAGGCTTGTGTCCCAGGAATCAGAAATCCTTAATATTATATACTATGTAAACGTGTATGCAATGCTGATATTGTCTTGACTAGACCATCAGATCGTTTTCTCAGAGGCAAAATATAGCTTTTGGTCATACATATGGCCTCTCTGACCTTTCTTATGTACCTATGGATGAATTGTAAAATAAGAAATATGCTAAATATATCTAAATTCATTTTACAGATTCCGCGCCCGCCTGAATGTTGTGTGCGTGACAGACAAACTGACAGGCGAACTGAAATGCGACGGGTGGCCAGAAGTGAAAGTTGCGTTGGCTCCGGTGGGACCTCTAAGACCCAACGCTACAGAAAGCAACCTACAACAGCTAGTCAGGTGAGGCAACCCTTTTTTATTATGTAAGTCTGGGATATTCTCTTCTATTATATTTCTTTTGTTACTTTCACATGCAGTAATATCGGGCTATTATAAATAACAATAAGTATAATAATCTCAGGACAATTCACACAGCGCCATCTAGACCCAAGTTAAGCTAGCTAAAGCTTGTGTTATGGGTACTAGATAACTGATACAAATAAATAGATATTTTGTAAATAGGTACATATTATACATAGAAAACAGCCAGACCGATACAAACAAACTCATGAATAGAAATGTTTGTGCTGTGCAAGGAATCGTACCTGCGACCATCGGACGTAAAGCGGTGTGCTGACCCGCTAGACCTCCGAGAGCGTCATAATTAATCTTATTTTTTTTAACTCCACAGCGACATAGTAGTGAGTGCTCTACGCAACATACAGTTAGAGTTCAATTTGGCCCAATACCCGACATGTCCGAGACTCAGGAGGTATGTGGACACCGCTCCACGCCTGCCTCTTCATTATGACTCTATGGTAAGTACTTATTTCTTAACAACAATAATCGATAATGTAGTTAACTTCATAGTGGAACACGCTGTATATACACGCGTGATTGTGCAGCACTAAAATTCTTATCAACAATACATATTTTAAGTAGTAGAGCACGCTGTACAAACACGCGTATATCAGCACTAATAACGCTCGAACCGGTAGATACCATACCTCTTCAAAATACCGGCATTAAGTGTAATCACGCATGGTGATATACCGGTTTTGGAGACCCATCCTCCTCCCTATGCTAATTAATTCCCTCCCCTATCTAACCTTCCTTAAAAAACCCGGCAACTAGCCTGCACTTCTCCTGGTGCGGTAATCACTTACCATCAGATGTGCCGTAAGCTCGTTTGCTCCTATGCTATAAAAAAGATTTCCCAGTTTCAGCAGGAAACTTTGTTTTGTTTTAGAAATTGAATTTTAGAAACTTTTCTGACCTTTTTAGAAGCATATCATGCTGTAGACTCATAGCAAAACCTTAGCTGAATGTTTGTTCCATAACCTTAGTGTTCAAGAATCACACTGTGTGCACAGCATTCCCAGTTTCAGACTGGAAACACAATACTTTGTTCTAGAAATTTAATTTTAGAAACCTTTCAGACCTTTTTAGAAGCATATCATGCTGTAGACTCATAGCAAAACCTTAGCTGAATGTTTGTTCCATAACCTTAGTGTTCAAGAATCACACTGTGTGCACAGCATTCCTAGTTCCAGACTGGAAACACAATACCTTTGTTCTAGAAATTGAATTTTAGAAACCTTTCCAGACCTTTTTGAGGAACCTTATGCTGTAGACTCTTACCAAAACCTCTTAGCAAGAAATTTCTTCCATAACCTGAATGTTCTGGAACTACACTGTGCAAAATTAGTTAGATCCTAAAGTGGAGTTCCCCTAATGAAAGACGTGACAATAATGTTAAAAAAACGTCTGTCCCTTTCACCCCTAAGTGATTACCAGAGCTAGATAGTAAAAAGTCATCTGCGTGGGTGCCTTAGTCTCACCTATTTCAGCCGCCAAGATGATGTTTCGGTTCTTGTGCGATTAGGCAGTGAGATTACAGGATAAGAGTTATGACATCTTGGACCTCTTGAGTGGCAGCGTATGCGTATCATTTTTACACATGATAATATGATGTTCATATATGTATTATTAGTTCATGTATATACGCGACGGTTTCCACTTACCATCAGGTGGAATTTCAGCTTGTTTGCCATTCCAATAAACGTAAGTGGCTTAGCATACAGCCTTACTTCCAATGATCGCGGCTCGAATCTGCTTACCGTGAGACTACATGGCACTGTGTTAATTGTCCAAAGTGATTTATTTAAAAAACATTGCATATTTCAGCTGCAACATGACCGTCATATGTACACATCAACACCTAACTCGACGGCCGGCTGCGTTCAGCTCTTAGGAGACAAACGGCTGCTTGTGAAGGTCGTCAACGCTAAAGATTTGGGAGGTGAGCTATTTAAACTGATATTGTAATATCAGGTTTTTTCTTATTTGATACCTCTTGTTTGATAATCGCGATATTTTTTTTCCTATCCAACATTTCCATATATAGGTAACCAGCTTTTGCCCGCGGCTTCACTCGCGTTAATTTATCCCCTTAGGGGTGGAATTTATCAAAATCCTTGCTTAGGAGATTCCTACGTCATAGTAGCTTTATGCATGCAAAGTCTCAGCCCGATTGGTTTAAAATTGACAAAGTTTCATATAAACTTTCATCCCCTGTTTTATCCCTTTGGGGGTAGAATTAATCAACCTTTCTTAGCGGATGGCTACGTCATAACATCTACCTGCATGCCAAATTTTAGCCCGATCCGTCCAGTGGTTTGGGCTGTGCGTTGATAGATCACTACGTCAGTCACCTTTGAGTTATATATATTTCGATTATATGACCCGCGCATCTTCGTCTGCATCACACTTACTTGACATTTATCATTATATTTCGCCCAATTTACATATCTTCTAAAATTATAGCCTATGCGTTATTCTGGTGTATAAGCTATATTACTGCAAAGTTTCATCACAATCATGTCAGTAGTTTTTGTATATAGAGCCTATATTTTCCTTACATCCTATGTATCCTCTGCAATTTTATTTAATTTAATTTCAAAATAATAACTTAAAAAAGTTCTTCTGAAACCACACTGCATGTGTGTTCTGAAGAATTGTACTGTACTGATTGTCTACGGTGATATATGCCATGGTCTGTCTATGTTATCTTTTAGTGAAGATACTATTTGACAGCGTCGATATCTAGCGGTTTAGTTTTTAGCTTCATTTTACTTTCATTGATCACGGTTTCTATTCCACGTTCGATACAAACACTCGTATTAAGGAGCACGATTGTTTATTTTAGGTGTTATGTATTAAGAAGTATCTGCTTCTCAGGTAAATCCGGATGCATCGCACCATATTGCGTGGTGGAGATGGACGAACCACCACAGAAAAATCAGACGGCGTTCAAGAAGGATACCACCAGTCCTCAGTGGGAGGAACATTTCCTATTGTGAGTTTATTTTTCTATTACTTAAGTTACCTTTTTTTTCTCCCAAATTCCTAATTCCTTAAATATATTATTCGGGTCATAATAGTGTTGGCGGTAGATATTAGTAGTCATTTCAACATTTAGATGTATTTGTTTACAGTGATCTCTCTTCACAAACTGCAGAGCTTCTGTTCGAAGTGTACGATCGTACCGGACCACCTTCTCCAGGTGGCGGCTCTGCACAACACAGGTATGTACATACAATCCTTACTAAAATTGTAAATTCGAAAATAACTCTGTCGCGCTTTCATGCAAAAATTTCACGAAATTTGGTACACAGACAGTCTAGAATCCCTGAATAGGAAAGGAATAATTGTGAAAAATAGAATATAAGGAGTTGAAAGGTTGTATGGAAGTATCGTCATTTTTAAAGCTAGAAAATTATTTTGTGGGCTGTTTATTAAATATAAAAAAATATGACATTCAAAGTCTGTAAAAAATTGAGCCTTAGGGGCGTAATAAAATTTGTAATAATTGAAGATTGAAACTGACTAAACATTTAACAATAACAAAAAAGAGTTTCTTGCCAGTTCTTCTCAACTGGAATATATATTTCAAATAAAAAAAACTAGCAAGAAACTTTTTTATAAAATAGTGATAAAAAATAGTACGTGTACAAAAGGACAAAAGGTCCTATGTCAATAAATGATTTTTAGTTTGAGTTTGATCTTGTATTCACTTCCTAAATTATTTTTCAAAAATATGAAGCCTATAGTCCATTAAATATTGTACCTTATTAACTTTTAAATAAGTACCATTATTCCCAGGTTCCTAGGTTTAGGTTTGGTGGGCATCGATGAGCTGTTGGCAGCACCGTCACAACGCCAGCAGATAGCGTTGCAGACCAGGCCCATGGAAGAACATGATATCTCTGGCACACTCACGGTTGAGGTATGTTCTATGGGATTAAAACTGTGATTTAGTACCCTAGTACTCTACGACTAGATGTGCCCCTCTTCCCCACTGGGCACACTGGACTTGTGCCCAGGGTCCCGCGATGGATTGGATAGACTAGACTAGGGGGCCTCCAATATATCGCGGGGCGCCCTAGTCTAGTCTAATCGCTACTCCATCCAGTTTTTATTATTATTTTATAAATATCTAGCAATAATTTGAACCCCTCATCACATACGTTTTTAAATTATTTTGCCTGGTTTTTTTTATTTTAGGGCGTCCCCATATACATCTCTAAAGAGTCATGTACAAAATGATTTTGACTATTCTAACAAAATAGTGATTTATTACGATGGTCATAGGGGCCCCATTATCCAAATGTGCCCGGGGCTTCTAATAGGTAAAAGACGGCCCTGTAGATGTGACTAAAAGCAATATGATAGCCCTGGAAAATTCACATAAAGTCATCTAGTCCCAAGGTAAGAAGAGGTTGTGTTATGGGTACTAGACAACTGATACAAACACTTTTTTTGTAAATACATACATTATATACATAGAAAACACCCAGAACGATATAAACGATTATAATTATGAATACATAAATACAAATGTTTGTACCATGCCTAATCGAACTCGCGACCATCGAGGCCGTCGAAGCTATGTCAAAAATTTTGCTGTCTAAATATTTATTTTTAAGGGCTATCTAGAAATATTGTAGTCCTAATTATTTACTTTTTTTACAGTTCCTGTTCATTGAAGGCGCTGACATTCCGGATTTGGGCTCGAGGCCTGTGAAGATCAAGGAAAGTCTCCGCACCGTCTCGCCGCAAGGCCACCTCACCACTACCACCAAGACCATATTCAAACAAAATGGTACTTAACAGATTTTACAGCTTACTCCCTTATTCCTCCAATAGATAACATTTACGTAGTCTAAAATGGAGTATTTTGTGCTGTCTGTTCACTTAGTTATTTTAAACTATGCAACGAATTTTAGCAATAGATAGAGTGATTCAAGAGGAAGGTTTATATGTATAACACATGTACAACCGTGCGAAGCCGGACCGAGGGTAACTAGTACATAATAAATTTAAAAAGAAGTAAGAATTAAGAGGCATTATTGTAAAGAGTTGTATCTTCTACACAAGGAACGTCAATCAAGTAAATATTTCATCACTAGCTGCGCCCGCGATTTCATCCGCTAAAAATGTCGATAGTTCCATGTAACCTTTCATCTCCCCTTTCAACCCCTTGCAACCCTTTTTTCGCATTAAAAAGTAGCCTATGTCCTTTGTCAGGATCTAGAATATCTACGTACTAAATTTCATTTAAATCGGTTCAAGTAGTTTTGACGTGTAAGCGAGACAGACAGACAGAGTTACTTTCGCATTTATAACATTAGTAAGAATTTATAATAATATACTTGATGTTTTATTCAAGCGACTTAAACGAACTATTTTATATTTTTTATTAATGATTGTTTTTACAACTTTTAGAACATTGTTGTAACTTATTATAATCTTTTATACAAGAGTAGTTTTATATGTTGTTATAATAAAATATGTCAGGTCTGCACTTGACTTCGTATATATTTCTATTCAAGTCGAGTTTAACATGTATTAATTCTTCAAAACATAAGATTCTAAATCTGTATTATTTATATTTATAGGTCATGAAAATTCTCAACTCACAGAGTCAGCTTTAAGAGAATTAGAACTGAGTCCAGCCAACGCCGCCAACAAGTCTACTTTGATCATCCACTCAGTACAAAGGGTAAACACAATCTATAATTTTGTCTTTTGGAGTTTCTTTTTTGACTAACAAGAGTTTTTTTTATATTCTATATACCCATTATGAAGTATAAAGTTTGATCCATTTAGTGAGTTGTTCCACTGGGTTTGATTATTGGACCACTTTTTTTCTTACACATTGATTTTAAAGAAGTACAATAAGCAATAAATAAGTAAAAGATGCATAGAAAAACCAATAAATAAAAACTTTATTTTGTTAAAAAAATATTAAAAACAACAAAAGATAAACAAAATAGTGACAATGTCATGTCCAATATAGATGCAGTTAGTCTGGATTTATTTGCTCAACCTTATCCTTATGTAACAGATTCAGTTGACTATAACATGCTTAACAATTGATTTTGATTTCCTTTCCAACGCCTGCGTGTGCCGTGACGCTTGTTTTCATGAAAACGAAATTTCAGGAGCCAAAGAAGTCTATAAAGGTAAGTCTACACAAACATAGTACGTAAAGGATTATATCCGAAATATAATTGTTTTAAACTACTTCCAGGCGCCGGATCACAGACTTTTTGTACATGCCGTAGATGTAGTTTACTAATTAATTTTCCTCCCCCCATTATCAAAGTAAATGTAAAAGTTTATATTCTAAATACGAACAAGTTGGTCTTAATTATATGAAAATTCGTTAACGCTTAACCATTGTAAATGATTATAAATTCGCAGTCTCCAATTTCTGCATTTGTTACTTTTATAAGACGCCTATGACTTTACCGCTGCCAAGTTGATAGCGCTGTTTAGCTTAAAAAGATGTCATATGGTTTAAAAGTTTAATGTAACCATAAATTTATACATACACTCATAGTATATATATATATATATTTCGTCTGTAGTTTTGAAGTCTAAAATAAAAGAAAATACAGTAGAAAACATAGGGCCAGTTTTTAATATATACATATACTGAAATAGTTACGGCATATCCATCTCGGTCTCCGATCATGGCTCTTATAGTTCATGAAGATCGCGCATAATATTATTATCAAGTACACATGTCGAAGAGAACACATTTTATAAAGTAGCGGGAGTCTGCGCAATGACACACTTCCTGCCCTTCTATTACAGACCGTTATAAAATCTTATGAGTTGTTGAAATCAACCACTCTAAGATTTTAGAACGGTCCGATTGTTATGATTGTATACATTTTTAGTTGAGTGTACCTTGAAGGTGATTCCATGAAATTTTAAAAATTTGTTACCTAAGTATACTATATAAAACATTTATTAATATTAAAAAAAAAGAAGTTCATACAATAACAATAATATTAAATGAAAATTAATCTCATGACCATGTAATAGCGTGAGCATACGCACTGTTGGTAATTCTAAGTGTAGACAAGTATGGAGAATATTAACGTATTCGGTTTTGAATTGACTATTAAGTTATTTCTCTTTTCTGTATAATTATAACGGTATAGTTATTTATTCAACTATAAATGGAATTAGTATCAACATATACTCTAAAAAAATAAAATATTTTGTTCCCAATTTCCAAAAAAGAGTGTAGAATTTTTATCTGGACGACGTCCATACAGTAAATTTGTGGCTTTACCTTCCTCTGCATAATCTTCGGAATGTAATATTATGCACGAACTTAATGAACTATAATACACTTTTAAGAAGTAGTAATATCAAATATATACATATAAAATTATAATATCTTGTTGTACAGTTAGAAAGTGACACAGCATGTTGTGAATTGAAAATGACTAAATAGTTTTTTGTTTTACATTTTGAATGTCATTTAGCCTATATGGGATATTATTTGACTCAATAATTCTACTATGAATATTTGATTTAAACACAAAAGTGGACTGTAGTGTCACGCCCAAGTGTGTTTAATTTGTTTATATTTATATTAATAAAAAAGCAGATAGCCGATAATAAAATTACTGCAGGCCACGAAATGACATTCAAAATAGTTTGTAGTGCCTTGTTGTGATACTAACTTTACCTCTAAAGGTCGAACTAACTGATTCGGGAAAATTCATCGAAGTGGAACGCGACGACTCGCAGACTACGGCGCCCGATACCACAGATAATACAGAGAGTGACATAGATAAATCACTGCCGGCTAGTCCAAACATGTCACCGGCTAAAAGTGTTAGGATCAAAGAAAACGGTTCTAAAGTTAATGGAAATAAGGATGCGGTAAGGGATTTGTTTTTTTACTAACATAATAATATTTTTGTGTTGCACGATATTGAATGTTTAGATTCATTTAATATAGGATCTTTAGTCTTATGTGTGTATTGCAGAAAGAGAGAAATATTTAGTAGAAGGAAAAATATCAGTTTAACACACATACGCTGTAAATGTTAATTTTTGTATAGTCTATTATATTTGATAAAAGTTCTATTATTTTGTGAAGAATTGAAATTTATTAACTGGTGATAGTAGCACAGTTGAAATGAATGCACCTACTAAAATTATATTAGATGTTAACGAACTATCAACGTTGTAGGAGACTATAGAATGTTGTAGGATTGATAATAACATTGTCCCTGGACAATTCACATAATACCATCTAGTCCCAAGCTAAACAGGTCTTGTGTCATGGGTGACAACTGATATAAATATTTAGACCAGACTGATACAAACAACCATACTCATAAATACATACAAAGATTTGTATCATGCGAGCAATCGAACCTGCTACCATCGGAAATAAAGAGGTGTGCTAAATTGCTAGATCACCGAGGCCTTCAAGGCAAAGAGTCAATATAAATCCAAATTTTAACATTTCCAAAATTGGAATGCAATATAATAGGAATAGTAATGTAAATCTGAACACAATTAGTAAAGATAGATAAATTAAGAAAATAGGAGCCAGAAATTCCATCATTGGTCTCTTATTAATTCAGTTATTTTATATTTTTACAGCAAGGCGATTACGTGAACAATCCCAATGAAAATGTCCCTCCAGAGCCCGCACCGCGCAAGAGACGTCGAGACTTTTTCGGAACAATCAAGAGAAGGTAAACACAGATCAAAAGTTACATTATATTCGTGTAAATATTAGAAGTCTTTAGATGTCTTTATTTGTATTATATTTTATTTTATTATATTTGTGACGCTAATGTCAAGTTTGTGTTGTAAAAATTTGTTTTCATAATTGTTTCCTAACTTAAAAAGAACAATAATTTGTCATTAGGAACCCTACGTGTATTAAAATAAATACATTTTTTTTGTTACAATATATTTTAAAACGCTCTTGTTAAATTTGTTTTAATTGGAAATAAAATCTTTTTTATTTTATTGAATTTTATTTACGTCGCTTTATTATTTGATCTTTGATTAGTACATATAATTAAATAATAATATCTTACAGAGAAGATCTGTGGATAACATAAGTAACAACATTCTAAATCCAGGTGTTGTATATTTTACTTAGATTCGATCTTAACGTTTTGTTTTTCATCATTACTTTTTAATATTTTCATTGGCATGCGTAATATCTCGAGTCATCATTCTTTAACTTGCTTATTTTTCCATTTTTTTTTTAACGGCAGATAATTAATGGTATGCTAATTTTTTTACAGGCTCGGCCGGTCACGTACCCGTGGACAATCTTTAGATCTCCCAGATTCGGAGGTCGACAATCCTAACCATATTCGTAGCGTCAGCGCGGAAAGAAATAGCCACGGTAAGTCGTTAATAGACGTTAGTTAACGATTTTTTAATACCGGCCTAATTTTCAATCACGATAAACTAGATTTGATCACCACCAGACTTAAACTGGACCTACTCAACACATAATATTTTTTGTATACTTTATGTAAAAAATTTGACGTACAGTATAGCAAAAAAAAGTATTATTTTGTGTAACAAATACGGCTCATTTTATAACTGTTACTCAATATATTAATTTGTTTTTTATTGTTATTTTTCATAACTTACGGTTGAATATTTTTTATCAACCTATTTAAGTTACTAGACATTAGAAAGTTTAAATTTCTTTTTTCGTGTGTATTGTCGATCGTCGGTAGGTTCAGTCTTCGACACATTTGAATTGTGCTCGGCAGATTATGGGCTAAGTCTAATATTTTTAACCGGTTCTGTTTGCTTAATAATATTTTCTACAATGTTGTTGTTTGCGTTAACAACAATATAACAATATTGACCTAATGATATATACAGTCATGAGTATTCTTTCTCCCTATATAATGCATCATAATACTATTTCCAGATAAAGCTCTAACCCTCCCGAATAGAAATGTATACTCTGCCGGAGCGTCACCCGCGCAGTCTGGCGATGAGTCTAGGACTTCTAGAAGGTATGTCAAAATTACAAGTAATGATTTACAACGTAGATATTAAATTCGAATCCACTTAGTTGTGTACGTGAGCAACAAATTACATTCTTAATATTAAAATTAAATATAGCATGTGATTTGAAAATGTAAATTGGACTGTAATCAATGTGACCTATACCTATAAGTTGTGTAATTGTGAATTTTTCAGTTTATTTGCATTCCAAATTGTCACTGTAGGTGTTCAGTAATAATAATATTAGATCGTTACGGATCCTGATGGGTGCAGCAAGTTGTAAAAAAGGAAGTTGAAATTGATTTTTAGGATGCTATGATAATTTGTATAGTTTTTAATAAAGCGCACATAAAATACTAATTTCGCTAATGGTCACACCAAAAGTTTATTAAGAATTTGCACTATATAAGAATATTAAGAATATTATGTTTTAAAGTAATACAGCAACTAAGTATAGAAAATAAACTAACTTGCTTATAATAATGATTTTGACTATATTCCTCATTTTTGGAATATATATTATATTTATATGTACAAATTTGTGGAACAACCATTAAATTGTACATTTTCTTTCTTTTTCCATCTGCCAACACTCACATCCGCTGGGGGTAACGCACTCTGCAATCTGGTAACACTGGTTTTTCATACTAATGATTTAAATCATCAATATACATATAATTTAATGGATATTTTTCGTGAAAACATTTGCATGCTTATTTTCTATTTTATATATTGTATTTTGTCTAACATCTTGCATGGCTTTTTATATTTTTATTTACTTCCGTCTTCTCCACGGTTTTTATTTCATAATTTCTCCATAAACTAATTACTCACTCGCTTTTAACTACTTAAATTATAAAAATCTTTTAACTATCCACTTTTCAATACCATACAATTTGAAAAACAAAATTAAAAACAAAGATCCTCTCTCAGTGAGGTATCCGGATTCAGCACAGCATCAGCAAGGACGTTCATCCATGAAGCGTCTACTCTAGTCCTCGAGACCATCGAAGCAGGCATCAAGAAGCACTACCTAGTGCCTCTGACTGTCGCCCAGCGCTCCAGGTGGAGACGGAAGGGCGTTAAACTCCATATTTATAATGAGCATACGTTTATCGCTAGACATCTTAGCGGGTAAGCATATATTAAATTTACTTAATAAGTACCTCAGAATACACTACAATACTTTTAGTACTAACACATTTTACAAAATGTGAACCATATTACAAATAAGAAATTGTAATTTTGTAGCTATAGAAGCGAATACCAAGTCTTCTCTTTCTTCTCTTTCCTCGTATTACATTATTATACAAAAGAAAGAAGAAATCGCTTGCCATCAGGTGTGCCGCAAGCTTGTTTAATCCCTATACTAAGTATAATAAAAACTATATCAGCACTATGAATTTAGAAAAATAAATTTATAATTATAGTGGAACAGTATGCGAGGTATGCAACAAGACGATAGCGCGGCGGCTCGGCAAGCAAGGCTACGAGTGCCGCGACTGTCAGCTCAAATGCCACAAACACTGCCACATCAAAGTGCCAGGAACTTGTCCGCGCTCTACCGTGCACAATATGGAGCTGTGAGTATACACCGACCAATGTTATTTGATACTTTACGGAATTACTTCTTAGTTTAAACTTTGACCACAATTGTACGCGTTGTACACGGGATATTTAGATAGATAGATAGATATATCTTTTATTTTTATATTTTATATCTTTTATATTTACCATGATGTTATTTAAGAACTCCAGATATTTCGACGCTGGTTATTAGGAACTCTTTGGAAGTTCGAAGTAAGGAAAATATAAATTTTAATAAATGAATAAATTTAAGTAAAGGAAGAAATTTTATGTTCCTTGTCATCTTTCAATATTAGAAAATAAAAGATTCTAAATTTAGACTTCAACGTGAATGTATGAAATATTTTACTTTTCCATTTTTATTGATGCCTATCTTTGAACCTAATTACAATTACAAGTCATTATTCAAATATATTTACAAATGTCCTAAGGTCGATTGACCCGTATAGTACGTATTATCATGACAAATTATAAATTATTATAAATAACTCGTTTGTATAACGTGTACAACAGACATTTCTTACCTCAACTTTTATAAATTATTGTATATTTATTTTTTCTTTTTACCCGATTAATATTCAAGCATCAACTTATACGGTTATATTATTTTTTAATTGATGGATTACTATAATATACTCTGTATTTAAGAGATCGTGTACCACAAACATATCGGTTCTATAATTAATTTATGAAATTAAAAAGGACTTATAACTATCCTCTTTACTTAAGAATGGGCTCACATTTTCAAGTTTAAACCCAACGGTCCGTGCCGACGAAGTCGTTTGATTTACGCAAGAAGAATGGCATTTTGTTAATATGTAACATACCTACATATATTAAATATTATCAAAAATATATTTTTATATCAGAGAATGACATATATATTACATATTAGTTATTCTTTTATCCAGTACAAAATTGAAATATTTTAATCTTTACAAAGTATAAAACTACGCCGCCGCAATCTGTTCGCTTATATCTTTTAAATTACGCCACGGATTTTTATGCAGTTTTCAGCAATAGATAGAGTGATTCAAGAGGCATATTTATATATATAATACATGCGTGTTATAATATAGAACAAGCCAAGAAATTCAAAGATTTGTAATGCATCCGTGTGAAGCCGCGACGGGTTGACTAGTAGACAATAAAACAAATAATATATGAAAAAGAGTGTCGTGTAAACTTCCCGTGCATTTCTGGTTCCGGCTTCTGTTCAGAACTTTATAATGTGAGCCCAGTCTGAGACGAACTTGTAACTGATCTCATCATGATATGCTTGCATGCTACAGCTTGCTTAAATAAATATCTCACTTTGTACTAGACCCTGTCCATGCGGAAACACTATATAAAATAATAAAGAAAGCTACTATAAAATAACTTAATTATATTGTTTATTGCACTTTGAATAAATTACTTAAATAAGTACATTAAAGCAAATGAAATAAAAAATTATTTGTAAGAAGAAAATCATTCGATCAATCAAACCTACCTACCTACTCACCACTAGCTATGCCACACTGTTGGGTTGACTGGTAGAGATCTCTTAGAGATAAGTCCACCTTTGCTCACTCTGTATATGTTTAAGTTTAGAACTGCAATAAAAGTGCAATAAAGAATATATATATATATATATATATATATCATTTATAAGAAAAAAGTATTAATGCATAAGTTTTTGTATCAATATTTTTTCTCTACCGTCCTTAAAGATTCAATTGAAAAGAACTGGCAAGAAAATCAACTGTATTTCTTTTTTTTAAAGCCAGTCAAAACAATATAGCGGGGCACAGGAAGTGTTGTGTGGGTTAAAATGTGCAAATAATAATTTAATAAAAAAAGTCATAATTAATTAAAAAGAAACATAAAGATTTTTATTATTTTCTTTATAATTTAACCATGCTAATTATACAGTTTATTTAATACCTAAAATATAATCTTAAAAAATAGATAAAAACTTATAATTTTTGACACATTTTCTATGTAAAGGAAACCAATAGAAATCGTATATTGAAAAATAACGCTATGCTATAAGATTAGACCTTGATTTAAGTACAGCTTTATATTTGAACTTTTAATTGTTTTATTGTTTTTTTTTATTGAGGTTTTGGCTGTAGTACCTGTCTCTTTTCCCTAGATAAGAATAAATGTCGGAAAAGTTGCTAATAATATGTTCTAAAACAACTTCAAGGCCCAAAACAAACAAAAAATATGGAGAAAAGTAAGATAAAAAATCATGCTGGATAATCTAATACGCTATTTCCATTTTACGATCTAATCTGCTTTCTATTCAATAGTAAAATATAATAGTATAATGCTTACACCTTTTTATATTATATTCAATGTACTAATGCATTTTTTATTTATATTTCAGCTATCTTCATATATAATTATATTAGGCCCATTAGAAAAAATATATATACAGTATCTTCAAAATGAAATGATTTGTCAAAAAACTTTGAAGAAGCATTTATATATTTTTTAAAAACAGCAGCAAAAGCATAGACACCGAACTAAATTTGAGGTTATATAAAAATGAATGATTAGTTACTTTAGTTTTTAGTTCGGTTTTTATGGTTTACTCTTGTTCTGTATTAAATACAAATTATCTATAATAACTACATTTCATATGATAAAGACATAAATAAAACCATAATTATGGCGTAACCATATGGTGGCAGTGGGCAAAATACCAGGGTCCCCAAGCCTGATGTATATGTATATATTTTATAACATAATTTAATAGATTTTTTAAATAATCGTCTGCATGTTTAACCTCAGTATAACCTATTTAGCTACCAAGCAGCTTGTTTTGTAAGCTGTATTTCGGTTGTAAAATTCAAATTAGGCAATAAAATTTCAGAATAAGATGTATGATATGATGACCACAAGTGTTACGTGATGTCCAAAATTCTCTTCATACATATAGGTGATATTTGTCGCTTGTAATTAGAGGGCAGTTCAGCTTGTTTGCCAATTACATAAAAAGTGTTTAAGCAATTTAAGAAAAAAAGACAAAAGTTAAACTTTTTCTTAGAACAAGAAAGTTGCATCCTATGATTTTGCCACGCCATTCATATAGTTACGCCACTGGACAACAAAGAAAAGTTTACGAGATAAATTTACTTTTTTAATGTTTTTTTTTTTAATCTTGTAAACTTTTTGAGATAGATCCTCATTTTATGCTATACGCTTATATGTATGTTTATTTCCAACGCTGCCAAGGTCCCATTCCCATAGCTTTGGAAATGGAAGGTACTTAGTTTTTTATATAATTGTTTTATAGTTATTATACCATAGATTGAGACTTCAGTAGGGGAAGGTAGGGTAACACGGGGAGTTAACATATTTCACAAAAAATACTAGTTTTTTTTAATTAAACGATATATGAACTTATATTTAAAAAAACTGTCTGTCTTATATTAAATTCTAATTTTGAAAAAGAACTATTCTTACAGATTGTCAATTAATTTTTTTTAAAAAGTTAATGGCAGTAGTTCCTTTTGGATTCCCATCTTATCAAACCTTCCCCTATTGCTTCTACCCTTGCCGCACCTACATGTTTCAAACACGGCTATACTTATTTACTCTCATGCTTGTAATAACCTAGCTGCTAATTACGTAACGCTGTTACTAACAATCTTCAATTGCAACAGGTTAAAATTGATAGGTTTGCGATTACATAAATCATGTTAGAGCTGCAATTACAACCTAGATAAAAATTCAGACTAAATGAAAATCAATATCAAAATTCATTTATATAATTATTATAAATAATAATAATGTAAAAAATATTGTATTATATGTTTTAGTTATTTTTAAACTTTCGTGTTTAATATACATTATTTATATTATTAACCGGGTCTTAACACGAATTATGTTATGGCAAATAAAGGTATTTACCTCTCTCAACGTTTCGACTAAGTTGCACTAGCCTTGGATATGAACTGGCTGATGTCAGCTCGTGATAAGATCCGGTTAATAATATACCTAAATATGAAGTATTTTTTCACTACCGTCCCAATGAATCTTTAGATAAATATAAAATAACTCTGGACACTATAAACTATATATAAGACTATAAATAAATTATCTATCGACAGCCTCTGTGGTGTAGCGGTTTGGCTTACACCGCTTCTCTTCCGATACTCACGGGTTCAATTCCTCGCACGGTGCAAACATTCGTATTCATGAGTATGATTGTTTGTATTGGTCTGGGTGTTTTCTATGTTTATTACGTATGTATTTACAAAAAAGGTATTTAAGTATTTACATCATTGTCAAACACCCACACTCATCTAACTTGGGACTAGATGACGCTGTATGGATTGTCCAGGGTTATTATTGTTACAATTCATACATACATAATCGTAAAACTGTAGAAATTATCTGTTACAGACGGGAATTGTTAGCAACTGCGTCACATGATTAATCTGATAATTGTTTCGAATTAATTAATATTTCTAAAGACATATGTGCTTATATTCACAATAAATATTTTAAATAATAATTATGTAGATTCGTCAATAAAATCTTTCTACGCACCAGACCAAATTGTCTGTATATGAATAAGTCATCAAAAACATCGCCCGCCAAAAAGCTGTTTTCACTAACCTTTTATGTACCTATAGAGTATATATATTTTGCGTATAATTATATATTTAAGTCATTATACTATATGTCATATTGTAAACTAAATTATTTTAATCTAAGTCATTATCTCATTTCGTATGTCTATTCATTTCCGTCTAACTTCCCTATGATAGAATACACCGATAACAAACTAAATTAATCCGAGAGACAGCGGTAAGCTCGCTTTCGATTGCATTAGTCTAAAATTTATCATTCTAAATAAGTATTGAATGTACATAATCCTATATGTTCATTTTCATCTCTATATCTTGGGTTATTTTTTTATGGATGGATTGGTGGATCTTCCAGCGCTGTCGGTTTACACTGGCGTGGCACCAGTGGAGAGTGAAAAGATGAACATGAAGTCCAGTCAGTTAGCCCTTGGCATCTTGGCAAATGGCGATTTACCACTCTGGTTTCTAAGAGCAATCACGATCGACCTAACATAGTATATTGCTAACAATAGGGTTATTAATCGCCATCACTAACAATTCCCTCCCCCTATGTTGGAATATTCGGTCTATTGTTAGTAACGTACCACGTCAATTGGACTTCCATGTACCCCAAAAATCGTGGTGGAAAGTGAATTCGCCAGTAAGACCTAACTGAACTTCGTGCTCATCTTATCATCTTCTACTGCTGCCACTCCAGCGTATACCGTTATCTCAGTCGATAATATATGTCATGGGGCCCACTATCCATAAATTAAGACACCAATTTATTTTTACAGCTGGTAACATTTTAATAGTTAATATTTTGTGTGACGTCACAATACACAGTGGCGGACTAACACTAAAGAGGGCGCTAGGGAATACATGGATTATTATTTCGGGCCTATTTTCTCAAATGACACATAATTTACGTCTAGTAGTTTTAATAATGACAGCCTAGATCACCTAAGCTTAGTCCCTGATGATATCTAAGATTCTCCCAGGAGTGGCATAGGGTCTGAATTTAACGGCTTTTTTCATGAAGTGTCCAATTTCTACAATCCAAGGTGTTGTGCAATGTCATATTGTGTCAAAATCCGCCCCTCAACCCTTTCTCGTGTAAAATGATTTATGCAGGGCTCCCAATCATCCCCATTCACTCATATTTATCTATAAAAGTCATTATATATTTTAATATATGTAATTAGACATGAGAAGTATCTAGGCTTCTGTTGAATGAAATTTATATGTAATTATTCATTGTTCTTCTAGATCCATGCTCCCAGTGTTAAGTGAATAGTCAAGTTAATCGAGAAGACTGCAAGAAAATAATAATAAAAAATATAACAAGCTATTTCAAGGTTCTTTATAAATATTAAAGTTTGTAGTCGCCATTTTGTTTCGTTTGGCTTTACGATTTGACGCATGCGTATTCTTTTTTTTTAAATATGTCACTTTTTTCTTTTTTGTCTCCGGCGATTTTTGTTCCATATATGTAACTTATAGCTCGTCAGCATGTATTGTTTTGCCATAGATAAAAATCAATACATAGTATTTATTTAAGGTTTTTATTTAATTAATAAAAAAAATGCATTTAAATTGGTAAGAACATTAATTATGGAACTGACAATGTAAACTGTATCTGATTAAAAGTTATGGGTTTACAATTTTCTATGAACCATTTGAGAGTTAATAAAGCGAAGTAAGTCGTGCAGTTCAAATTTCAAATTATTAAATGGTTGGTACATAATTACAAAAATTTATATTTTTAATCTGAATTGTTAGTTTTACATAATTAAACCTCAAATTGAATGCATAGACAAATATTCTTTATTTTTGAACGTAGTTGCTACTTTATTGTTTTTTTTTTTAATAAATACTAGCTGTTTTTTAAGAAAATGTGGTTGCCGTAGATGCTATTTCTTAGTATCTGCATTACGTAATTAAGCTTCAAGTTTTAAACTTGTATGTATTAACATAGATATTTTTTTTAACGTAGTTGCTACTTTTATTTTTATTTATTTTATGCAACTCGCTTTTTTTAAGAAAATGTGTTTGCCGGAGTGTTTATTAGTAAGATTTAAAATAACTTATACCTTAATTACCTACTTATTCTGTCCAAATGCTTGTTTATATTAGAATACGTCGTAGAGAGGAGTCTGCATGCACTTAAAATCGAACATTTAATTGAAATTAATTTACGTTTTCGTTTCAGTAGTGTACATATATTATGTAAACGAACGGACAGACAAAGTCGCTCCATTCAAAGCGAAAATTAATTTTGGATTATCATAACAGTCGATATTCAGTTTACAGTTTTTTATACTTCTGTGACTGTCATCTTTTCTAAAGTATTTTGGAAACATGTTTCTGTTTCAAATATATAAATAAAATAAAATTAAAAAATATATAGTTACAGTTTTACATTAATTATTTACTAAATTCTAATTTGATTTGTGTTATCTGTAGTCTCTAAGAATCAGATCTATATTATTAGGATTTATGTGTACACTGTACAGGTGACTATTTTTAAGCATGCTTGTTATGCCATTGGCATTCCAGTTACGTAAAAATGGACAGATAATATATATATTTTATCTTTTTTACAGGACATACATCCAATCACCGTATGCGGACAAGAATATAAGAATGTTGTGACTTTAAAACAATGGCGCTTATTGATGCACAAAGCTATACTCATGGGCTTACCCAGCAGGGAGAATAGGGGGAGGAGAAGCAAGGTTTGCTTCTAGCCTAGATGGGAATGAGCTTACCCAACTTTTAAACCAGGGGTGGACGGGGGGGAGAAGTGAGTTTTGCTTCTGGCCTAGAGGGGGGAGGGGATGTAAGATTATTTTTAGGCCGGTTTTTCAAAATGTACTGTTTAGCTTCTGGCCTAGAGGGGGGAATATCAAATTTGCTTTGGCCCGAGGTTTGGGTTCAAAATGTACTGCATAATACATTGTAAAGTTATTTTTCAAGGAGGTGCCCCCCATGCCCCCTGGGTACGTCCATGACAATTCTACTTTACCATTTTAATTAAATTAATTATTCAAAAAACTCTATAAGTACAACACTGTAACGCTATATATAATATAATAGGCTTTTCTACGAATATATTTATAATAATTAATATATAGAAAGTTTAATACTAGTTTATAAGGAGAAATAAAACGTAGAGGTTCTAAATCTTGATGCTGGAAAAAAAAATTGTACAAATCGCAATCCCGCTCAAATTGTGTCACAGATAACAAAAAAACCATAGAGCAGAATAGGTTTTAAATTTAATATTAAATTTTAACTATATAACAAAACTGTATGTAACACCATTTGGGCGGAAATGCGAAAGGTACTTCCCGCTTGTCACCGATTGGCGAAGTTAGGGTTAGTTTAGATATCGCTAGAGCCCACCACATAAGCCATTTTATAAAGGGTATATTACACTATCATACAAGAATATTTTACAGTCTTTTGTAATACATTAAAAAATATATGTGTTCTTTAATATATTGTTAAGGTTTTTCCTTCACTGTATGTTACAATTAAAGTATATAGTCTATGTATATATCAATATAAAACGTCATATATACAGTCACAGTATTCTCACTTTGTTTCTTGGTGAAATATATCGTGACCTTAAATAGAATATATCTGTCTCAGATTTTTAAACTATTATTAAAAATCCCAGTGGTATTTTATTAGAGTGCAGTTTTGACAGTGTAATATACCCTTAATATATATTAGAATTTTGGTAAATATTCTACCACACATTGTCTGCTTAAGTCAGCAAAAATACAGAGGATTTTTTTTATTTCTACCTCATTTCATTCAAAGTTACAACAATATACCTAGAAAAAAGTTACCAACTTATCCCTCACAAATTTTTTTTTAATATATTTTGTTGATTATGACTTAATTATTTAAAGAGTTACATCGGACTAAATGATTAATAACTATATTTATTTTAGTCGTGTAAGTGCTTTTGCACATTGTGATCTGATTACTCGTATATAACGTGCAATACTTTAAACTAAAATACTTAATTGTACTCATTGAGGTATTATTAACGTACTACTAGAGAACGCGAGCAATAAATTGCGGTGATAACGCCGCACTTCATTTTTACTCGTTTGATGTATTTTTTTGATAAAGCCTTAATCTGTATAAAAGATGCCGTAATGTACATTAAGATATTATTCAATAAACAGGTATTTTTTTAGCATACTATACATGTAGTTGTTTGTTATTGTTATTTAACTGAAAACCAATTCATCTGTTAATTAAACAAGTACAATTTTGTTTACAATAAAACAGTACATACAAAAAATGCATTACAAAAGGCGGTCTGATCGCTAAAATCAAACAGCTATACCATTACATTAATAATAAACAAGCCTCGCGTAATTTGTATTCTACGTCTTATCTAATACGTTACTAATAATGCCTCAATGGTTAATACTTGTACTAGGGCTTGGAGCTTCGATGTTAATAATTTTGAGATCTAAGTAATTGGCTATATTAAATGACCATCTTATAGCGTCAATCCAATTTAGATTAAGGGTGTAATTTTGTACGGTGCTATCTTAAATGAATATAATGTTATTCTGAATAAATTCTTTAAATATTTCTAATTTTAGAGATACAGAAGAAGAATTATATTTATAAAAATATAACTAAGACTGATTTTAGACGGTGGTATCTCTATAAGTTATGTCAACTTTAAAGATACATTAAAAACACTTTTAGGACTAATTTGTCTACCTATTTGAGTCTAAAGATAAGTTTAAAGAACACCATTTTAGAATGGACTTAACTGGCTCTTTTATCTTAAATAATTCTTCTTAATCTTATTAAGAAAAAAAACTATTCTCAAAGAGATATATTCGAAATGCCACATATAAAAAATCAGTCCTTGTTGAGTATTTTTATAAACAATTAAAAAAAACAAAATTACAATTGCTGATATTGTACTATAAATAATAGGAGATTTATGGAATGGATTTTTTTTCTTTTTATAACCAAACATAAAAAAAGCTAAAGAGTTATTAAGTGTGAAGTATTTATGGTCAACATAAGTTACTAATAGAAACAGTTTGATTTTAAATAGATACAGACCTATGTATGCAATTTGTATATATCTTACATCATGGCATTATATTCGTTTAAGATAGCAACCCTATCGTGTGATTGACAAGATTAAAAAAAAGGAAAATTTATGTTACAAATGTTTTGTATGAATTCTTGCTCTCTCTATGAATATATTCTGTTTGATTTTTTATTTAAAAAGCAACATATAAAAATATTTTTCTGTTTAATAAACCTGTTTAAATAATAATAAATATAATAATTATAAAGTACCAGACATTAATACCTGTTTGCAATAAACTTATATACCTCTTCTGATGCCTAAATATAATGTAATTTAAATATAATTACAATATATATAAAAATTTTAGGTTAGTAAAAATTACAACACTACAATGCAATTTTTAAAGTAAGGCGTTCATTAAATTTTTAGGCTTAAGTAAATCTTTAGGTCGGAAAGGATATCGATGAACTGTGACATTGTGTGACTAAGATTGGGAGGAGTCATGACTTTCGTGACGTGACATTTAAAAATATACAATACACAAACAATTAATAAAATAATGAAATAGAAATACAATAAATTTTGGATCTATAGTTTATTTATTTATTAATTTCTAGATGCCAAATAGTTAAACACATCGAGGGACAAATGTGAGAAATACAATAAATTTTGTAACTATAGTTTATTTATTAATTTCTACTAAAGTATGACACACTAGGGCAGGGGTCACAATGATGAAAGTGGTGTCAAAATCATGAAATTTGCGTGTGACATTGTTTACAGATCGGTCCTTATGGTTTTTATTTGAGTTTAATGCAAACGGATATCAATATATGTCCTAAATGTACTTACAGTCGTAAATTTTATCCATTTCTGTATGTTTATCGGCCATTACACAAAATGTTTGTAGCATGATATAGGTACGTGTAATGCACGTGGGCGATATTCACATATAAATATATAACACAAAATGTGTTTGTACTCTTTTATAAGATTGTTAACGCATAATATTTTATGTGGTTCCGTATAAATATTATGATATTAATTTATAAATGTTGCGCAATGTGTTTTTGCCTGTAATTTTATTATTTCCTCTTTTTTTTTTAATAAAATGCCTTTTTTTATAAATGTTGTTTTCTTTAGTGTCTACATAATTATAATGGTTCCGCTGTATGGCTAAGAATAGAGAACTATAGTTTTACGGCCTCGGTGGTCTAGCTATTTAGCACGCTTTATTTCCGATGGTCGCGGATTCGATGCAAACATTTATATTCATGAGTATGTTTGTTTATATCGGTCTGGTGTTTTCTATGTATATTATGCATTTACAAAAAAGTCTAAATATTTGATATCAGTGATCTACTTAGTACTCATAACACAAGCTCTGCTTACCGTGGGACTAGATGGCGCTGTGTGAATTAGCCAGGGTTATTAATTTATTTATTTATTTACGAACTAAGTGATAATAACTTGTAAATACTAAATTTAAGCAACATAGGACAAGGTTATAAAAATAAAACAGTATGAGCAATTCGCTTATGTACCAATTTATTGACTCAGCGTATGTACACAATAACAAAAAGCCATCACGCTAGTAAACGCCTCCCGTACTCGTCTTACAATTAACAATATCATATTGACCTTACATTTGTCAATTTTGGACGAGCGTACAATTTGCGACAAGCTAAATTTCTGTTTTATGCGAACAACTATATAACATAATAAGATATTCTTTCTCATAAAGTTATATATTATAAGTAGAAACATATAAAATGCTTATTCAATATTTAATTTTTCGTATAAAATCAGAGGCTGAATTAATCGGCCGTGATCAGAAATATTTTTATTTCATTTTACACCAAAAAAAAGAAAGAGAAAAATATATATGGATGTTAATGAAATACACTACAACAGTCACAAAATTCAGATTTTGTACAGTCATCTGCGTGGGTACCTGTGTCTGTTCTATTTTAACAGCCAAGCAACTTGCTGTATATACTGTTTCGTTTTAAACGGTGCACTTACAGGAAAATACAGGATGAGAGTCATGACATCGTAGTCCACCTGAATGACAACCCCTGAAGGTACCACGTGTCACATGATGATGTATTCGTATTGCTGTTCACGTGTAGGCGATGGTTATTTACCAGCTGGTGGAAAAGCTTGTTTCCAGTTACGTAAAAAAAAAGTTTGACACCACTACATTACTACAATCAATGATTTTAAAGGTTTAAATAAGGGTTTTAAACGTCGCTATGAACATTCTTATATGTAAAACAGTTGATTAATGTCAACATTGTTACCAACAACTTGGCGTTTACTCTACCTCTCTCGTGTATATTTATGTATCTATACATATAATATTTCATTATTAATAGTATAAAAGAACAGTAGTACAATCCATAGAGTAACAGTAGCATAGCAACGGCGAATAAACCAAGTGTTCTCCTTCAGTATTTATATAAACGTGCCTTCTACACTCGATTTAAGACATTGCGCTACTGTAGTGAATTGTAATACTGTGACAACTTGAAATCTTGAAAATAAACATAAGGATCGGCAGTGGAGTTTGAAATTTAGTGTTTAGTTGCAGAATACCTAATAACTCGTAAAACGTTTCAATATCAATTGGTAATATTACCAATTTATCTATTTACGTCTTGTAAGATTAAC